CACAGAGTTGCAGTCATGTTATTGTGGTGTTAGCTTTATTTTACAAACCATGTTTGGTGAGATGCAGACACTGGGTTGCAGAGAGCACACAAGCCACTGAACAGTGTTAAAGTTTTGTTTTAGCCTTTTGTGAAGATACTCCCAAAAATACCATTAATTATCTACATAATCTTCTGCTACTTTTCTTTTTTCATTATAACCGGCAACACAGTCATGTTTAAGCTTTGCAACATTTGTGTGCTATTTGTACAATATCCATGTGTTCTCCATTTACCTAGCTTTTGCAAAACAAGGAAGCTACTTGGTTCCATGCCAGTACCAAAGGAATGAAATCCTCCTCTGTTTTGGTGTATTGGCCAGGTAAACACTTGCAATTTTGCTTACAGTGTTCAGCTCTCTTACACTGTAATCCTATGGAAAATGGACCTGTTTGTGTTACTCTTGACTCTGCTTACCTTAAAAAGCTCTTAGGATCCTCCTCATTGAAATATGTGTATGTTTTAAACAGATTATCTTTAGAGATATAGATGTGGTTTGTGTTTCATTTCATGATGTTCTCAGTGCTTTGTGTTCCTCTGTTTGAACAATGAGTTTGTATTTACACGGCCATTTGCTCAGCATTAAACCAGCACAAGGGGTCGTGCTGGTAGGGGCGTGTTGTTTCATGTTCTGGTGAGACGATGAAATATGATATAGAAGTCCAGTTGGAGTGACTTTTTAGACCAAGTTTTTCAGGTAAATATACAATGTATATTTACAGTTATTGGACTGAGGGCTGTTGTCTTGTTGTATCCTGCAGTCATGGGTTCAGTGTTCATCAGAGTGATGGGGAAGAAACTGTACTTGTGTCTAGTTGTTTTGGTGTACAGTGACCTGTAGTGCTGTCCAGAGGGGAAAAGTTTAAACAGTTTGTGTCCAGAGTGTGAGGGGTCTGCCCTCCTTTTAACCTGTGATGTGTACAGGTCTTCTGTGGAGAGCAGGTTGGCTCTGATCTATCTATCTATTTATTTATTGTATGGATGCTGATTCAGCATGATTCAGCTGATTCAGCATCCATACCTTTTTTTCCTGGTCTTCATTTCTTTATTTATTATTCTTCCGTCAGTTTTTTGGCCCATAACTACTTCAGCATACTTTCAGCTAGAAAAACCATTCAGGTATCAAAATGTTTAGCTTTTTCAGGACATGTGCGGATCTATTCAGAATTTTCCTAAACTTCATACTTTTTAAACTATTTAGTGTTTTTCAGCAAAATTTTGCCCATTCAAATGAATTTTTAATTCAGCATACTTTCAGCTATTAAAATGTTCAGCTCTTCAAGGACATTCATGCTTCTAATCAGAAGTTTTCTAAACTTCATACATTTGAAATATTTAGCTTTATTTTAAAAATCTTGCCCCATTCAAATGAATGGGGAAATTTTTACTTCTACATACTTTCAGCTATTTCAGCTATCAAAATGTTCAGCTCTTCAAGGACATTCATGCTTCTATTCAGAACTTTCATAAACGTCATACCTTTGAAAATACTTTCGAACTAATTAGGCTTATTTTGAAAACCTTGCCCCATTCAAATGAATGGGAAAATTCAACTTCAGCATACTTTTAGCTATTTCAGCTATCAAAATATTGAACTTTTCAAGGACATTCATGCTTCTATTCAGAACTTTCATAAACGTCATACCTTTGAAAATACTTTCGAACTAATTAGGCTTATTTTGAAAACCTTGCCCCATTCAAATGAATGGGAAAATTCTACTTCAGCATACTTTCAGCTAGCAAAGCCATTCAGGTGTCAAAATGTTCAGCATTTTCAGGGGGATCTTTCAACAGTCAGCATCCATACGCATTTTCTTCAGAAAATGCAATTTTCTAGTTTTTTTTTTCTAATCTGTTCCTGTTTGGTTGCTGAGCCAAACCAGACAGTGATAGATGACCAGAGAACAGACTTGGTGATTCCTCTGTAGAACGGTATCAGCAGCTCCTGGGGCAGGTTGAACTTCCTGAGCTGGCGCAGGAAGTATATCCTCTGCTGTGCCTTCTTGGTGATGGTGTTGAATATCCACTTCAAGTTCTGGGCGATTGTGGAGCCCAGTGTTACCGTTATAGCTGGCTAATAAGTCCAGTCCACTCTATATGGTACAGTGTCAAGTGACGAGGTTAACAGGCCTGACAACCTCCCAAATTAAAATCATATCACTTCAGCAAAAGGGTAAAAATCACAACAATGCTAAGTTGTTAATGTTACCAAAACAAAGATGCTAGCTTTTGATGCTAACACCTCTCGAAGGAAGAGCATCATATATGAATCAAATTTGAGCTCTTTGGCAGCTTTTAACACTCTCCATCTCAAAGGTCATACTGATGTTAACCCTGCTTCTTGCTCTTTCTTTGTCTCACAAAGAACAAACCTGATTCAACTTCCTTTTTTTTATGACACTCCATCCCATCTCTGAGTGGACGTCTGTAGTTTAGCTTCATCTCCTGCTGTTGTCCCCTGTGTTCTAAGCCATTTCTGCTCCAGTGCCAATAGATGTGCATGTGTTATAGATGGCTTTTGTTTTGCAGTGAGCTGGTCTCATCTCAAGATGCTCTCCTGGGGCAAAGGTTCACGCACCCAAACCCCACCCCTCCCTCCTGTATCTCTTTGGTGGGGTCATTTGTAGGTAATCCACACATGACTGGATACTCTCACTACAACTTCAAGCAGAAAGATGGGAGCTCCAGTATGATAGAGGGAGTTAGGATTAGGCTCGTGCTGAATCCTTATAGGCTCATTTCACAAGACTTTTTTTAACCAATTAAGCTGAAATCAAGTTGGACTTGTACATACCCTTACATCAGGACTTGTACCCAGCAAACCCAGCCCTTATAGTAACATGCACTGCTGAGTGAGCCGCTTTAATCCTATGGTTTTTGGTTTTTTTTGGTCAATGTCAGCCAGAGGTCAACTTGGTTATAGAATGATTGCCTCACTGCGACAGCAGCCGTCGTCATTTATTTCACTCTACTCCACAAGCCCCTGAGATTGAGCTGAAGTACAGAGCCTGTATTTAGACTTTATTTAAGAAGATTGGTGGTGGCCACCGACACGCTGCTCCAGTCAGCCCTGTGTTCACCGGTGACCAGCCAGATCAATACAACACAATTGAGTTTTCCAATCTGTGGTCTTTGGGAACGCAGCCATAGCACTTAGAGGGTGATCGCCTTTGATGAAGTCTTCATCAGGATCTATTGACTGATTCATTTGAGCACCCTCCTTCCACCCTTACTACATGTTTTTTCAAACTGTAAAGTAATGGGACACTAAAACCCTCTTTAAAAAGTTTTGTGGTAGCTGACGGACAGATTGCACCAGTAGAGCTGTCTCTCTCAAGTTAAGATTTTAATGTGTATTTTGCAGAATTTCTTAAGTGTACTGTATGCTTATATTGTGCTGTTCATGGGGAAACCTGCTTATTTTCATGTTGTTGCAAAATTTACTTTTGGTTTTCCACCAAAACTGCTGCAGGATCTCAGAAGTAACAGTGACTAAAATAAAACACCAGATGAACAAAAAAAATTCAGAAAGCCACAAGCATGAGACTTGTTTTGGAAAGTGAATCGGCCAAGAAAGGGGTTGTGTAAATTTCCAAATTTTTTAATATTTGATTTCTAAACAAGCCACATGGGTATTGGATATCACAGGCTAATTCACGATGGCTGTGCACTTTTGGAAATTGGTTGGGTGCTCTTCTCTGTGCTTTTGATATCCAAGTTATTTTTTTCATCTGGAGTGGAGCTTCTCTTAAGAAAGCCATAATCCTCGCAGTATTGCTGTAGCAAGTACGCCTCTGGCACAACATTTCCCAGCGGTGTGCGTGACTCCACTCATTTTCCCCATTGTTATTTTACCTGTTTGGTATTTTTTCTTACCCCTCTTGACCCCCTTTTTTCTCTGAATTCTCCAGAGAAAGTGAGAGACAATTTACATCAGGGTGGACTCGCTGATGGTGGTTTCCCGAAGTGGAATGCTCAGCAAAGCTTCCTTCTCAGTGAGCTAACTGCAGCTGGGTTTAATAAATTGTTTAGGGATGTCGGCGATTAACTGATTATTAGTTAGTTGGTTTTTCTTCTGATAACTGAAATCTACAATGGCTAATTATCTAATGGCTCATTATTTGAGATGTTTATTAAAACAGACATCAGTTTATTTTGAACATTTCATAAAGGTCAAAATGTCATGACCCCTTTCCAGCACAAACAATGTAGTGTTTTCCATTTTCTATTCATTCACTTATTTCCATTACAGGGGCATATGATATTTCACAAGAAGGACCCTTTTTTAAATTAAACTCTTTTTACTGTATTACAGTGTGGCTGATTTATCTTGAATTAAGAAAATGATTAAGCATGTTTCCTCTTCTTTAAGCAGACTTTTCTCTTTCTGATCTCTGTCCTTCTTCGTTTAACACTCGTACATCCCTCCTTTCTTCTCTTCCTCTGTGTTCTTTCTCTCGAGCAGCAGAGAGCTTCCAGCCTCCTGTGATGTTAATTCCTCATTGATCTCAAGGGCAACAGTGCTGTTTACACATTCTGTCATATAGAGTGGAAAGGAAAAGTACATGACTCCACACAGCACTGTTAACCACTCTGCTCTGGCTTGTTTGTGTGAGTTGCATTGTCTAAGGCTGAAGGCTTCATTGAGGAACCCCACATGTTGTGCTTTTGCCATGGGATACAGAGGAGCATTAGAGATACTTAAAAGTAAAAGTGCACACTTCTTAGAGTTTGGTCTTTGAAAGAGATGTTTACATTTTTGTCATATATAATATACATTTACTGAAATGTTTTCTTTAAATATGTTTTATCTTTTTTTTTTCCCTTGAGAATTGTTATCGCGGTCACGTCTCAAACTGTATCATGTTCTGTACAGTATACTAGATGTGGTGACAGTCACAGCCTGACGTGCATGTTGTGTTGACATGACTGATTGTTGTGTGTGTCATTGTCCTCCTCCAGAGCTGTCGGATGTTGAACCCAATGTTTTCCTGAGGCCCTTTCTGGAAGTGGTCCGCTCTGAGGACACCACTGGACCAATCACAGGCCTTGCCCTTACCTCTGTCAACAAGTTCCTTTCCTATGGCCTTATAGGTAAGAAATCTTACATTAGCATTGTGTTTGTAGACCCACATCTACTGTGTATATTCAAAAGCACATGGTCTTGCAACCTTTTAAGTTATTACTCTATGAATTGTTAGCAGTATTCATTTTGACTTGCATAATCATAATCATCTTTTTGCTTAAGCTTGAGAACACTTTGTTGGATGTATTAGGTGGTTAGAAGGAGCATGGTTCCATGTGAAAATGAATGTTGACTGCCCAGTTTCTGTTTATCTGGCAATAATCTGTCACGGTCCATGTCTTGTTAACACAGAAAAGTATTATAATCCAAACACAATCAGTAATATAATTCTCATTGAAGAAAAGCTAGGGGACCATCATACAGAGATGCTGGTTTGCCCATTGTCATCCATTTGTTTGTTTGAGGTTTTATCCAGATACAGTAAGTCTGAGCCCACTTTAGATATGTGTAGGATAGTATTCACTCAGCATTACCGTTTTAAGTGGACATTACCACATTGCATCGGAGTACCAGATTAGACTCTTCAAATGCCTAGCCCGGTTTTCTTTTCTTTTTTTTTTTTCTTACCATAGAAATCACTTCAATCACTTTTGTTGCAGTGATTACAGGTAAACTGACTTCTGTTGCAGCTGTCACAGCTATACTCGCTTCTGTTCTGTGGAGGTCGTGCTACTCATAGTTTTTAAATGTTTGTTTTTAATTATACATAAGATCAAATAACCCCAACTTCAACTTAGAAAGAATACAACTATTGTAAGATGATAGAAATTAAAATGATTTAATATTGTAGTGTGACTGCACAGGTCAGTTTTGTTGTATACTGTATATAATCATTTAGTGTAACATGGAGGTAAACCAAGGTGCCGCTGGAATCTGTGGCCGATCTTCATGGGCCATTAAATATTTTCATACTAATATTTGACAACATTTTCAATGTAAAGCACCAATAACTGCATAAGTTGAAGTGTTGAATCATTTTGGCACTCCTGAAAGCTCAAGAGCTTTCTGCTGGGGAGCTACAAACGACAAACGCTGTTGCTCATCATCAGGTCAGTCCAGGAATGACAGGCATGTCTCATCACTGATCACACTCCTGTTGTTTTTATAAGTGTTAAATGATCATGCATCACCAGATGTTAGATCAAATAGCAGGAGTTGAGTCATGCCGTCAAAACAGCTGCAGCCTTTGCTAAACTAAATAAGAGTCTAAGATTGCAGGAGCACTGCACAGTTATAAAAGCTGCTGGAAATGTACCCTCTATTCCTGGGTCCTAGAATAATTTGTATTTTACTTTGTACTATTTAAAAATGAGCAGGTAGGATTTCATGTTGGAACTGAAATCTCTTTAAAACACAATGTCATGGATGTATAAGGGAAACATTTTCTGGAATAGATGAGGGCTGAGGATTTGTGTTCATATAAACCGAAGACCAGTTGATGGCTCCCATATTGACACTCCTGTGAAGTGCCTCAGACTATAAGTTAAGATGACTCTCTGCCTAGGCTCTCATACATATACACACCATGTCTGTTCAAGGATTGCCCCGCAAATTGCTGCCACAGTCCTAGAGCCTCTGTCTGTCACTCCAGACCTGACACCAGCTCCCTTAATCTCCACCACCCCCATCCTGACACCATCGCACCACCATCAGCATCTCATCAGCACTGTTGGAAGGGGTGCACAATTGTGGCAGTGCAGCTCAGTCACTCTCACGGCAACGGCTCTCGCTCCCCAGTTGCAATAAAGATGAGGAGATATGAGAGCAGCTTTATCAAGCCTCCTGCACCTGGCTTTGACTTCTGTTCCTCAAACTGTGCATTCTCCAGCAGCCGGTTAACACACTTGCCTATCTGTTGTTTTACTTAGCTTCCATTTTGTTCTGGTTATTGGGGTGGGGTGGAGTATGGTAGGTTACCCTTAATGCGAGTTCAGAGTACTGATTATTCCCATAGTTCTAGTTAATGGTAAGTAATGCAGTTCATTACATAATATTTCAAGAATCATTCACCACCTTTTGACATACTTGCTTTCAAGATAGCTGAGTAGATATGAGTGGTAAAAGGACAGAAAGTACAGTACCACTGGTGTTGACAGCTACTGCCATCTCCTGGCTAGGATGTAACACCGAAATCTAACAGTGTCTTTGATGAACACTAAGTGTCTCTCTCTGCTTTCTCAAACAGTTTTACTTAGCATTAGCATTGCATGTGGTATCTCATTTTCTCATGTATTGGTTTGTTCCATACCTGCACTAAGGGTCCGTTTAGATTTAGACAAATTACAGTATCATCCCTCTTCAAGTCTGGAGTGAGAAAACAGCCTCCAGGAGTCAGCTGTATTGAATATGGTCCTCTCCTTCAGTGTGTCACATTGGCCTGCCAACACTTCCCCTGCACCAGCTATACCACTGTCTTTTTTCTAGCTGTCCAGGGATAGGGAAAAAGCGAAGCTCTCCCACACACACCCATTCATTTCACTTACCCATATGATGTAGTGGTAATTCCTCCCAGTCTGTGGCCTGAGGCCTGCTGGCTTGGCTGGAGCAGCAACCTAAGCCTAATTATCCACATCTCTGCTCTGTCCTCTGTTTTCGCACTGCACTTCTCTCATCCCCTGTGCCTCCTTCATTCTCCCTTTGTTTCTCCTGCCCAGCAGAGTCAGCAAAGCCCCTCACTGCTAGCGGTCACATGGTCACTAGCCCACATAGAGCTCAAAGCAAGGCTCAGCTGAGGCTTAAGCAGCAGCTACTGCCAGAAGAGATTGTCTTAGACTTCAGATGTAGTCTGCCTGTGAATTAATACACTGTTATCAAATGAAATGGCTGTTACAGTAAAATACACAGTATTACATGTAGTACAGCAAAGAGTAGCACCTTGTTGACAAACTCCACATACAGAAAATCCAAGGACAAGACATCATAAGTCTCTGAGTCACTGTTTTCCCCCAGAACACCAAAACAAATTCAAGAAAGCCTGCTTTCCACTCCACTCCAAAACAAACAAACAAAAGACCCTATAGCTTAAACAGTTCAGGGGATTTTACATTCAAATAATGGTGACAAAACTGCTGAAGCATTTTGTTGTGAACCTTTCATAATAAACATATGTGTGCAGCTCTTTTTGAAAGAACATATAGGAAGATATAAGAAACCAAATGAAAACAGCTGTCATAAAATCTGATAGTTATGAAATAAAACTAAGGATAAAAAAGAGAAAATAATAATCAACAAAGTATTTATTTAAAGGGGAACTCCAGCATCTTTACACTTAAAATGGAGTCATCAGGAGTAGTGCTTAGCCTGTGTACAGTAAATACTAGTATAATGTCTTTTGTAGCTCTGGAGGAGTTTTTGAAAATCTGAGACAATGACGCTATGATCGGTTTTGTCTTGGCCTTTATTTAATCTCCCTCTTTAAGGTCTTTAACATTATGGAAATACAGTACTAAATATCTAGGGTTTGTCTTGAATGAATTAAACTGAAACCAGGTTCTACATTAACAAACCAGTGAATTTAGTTTGTCTAACCATTTTTTACATGTTGGGAGTAATGATAACCAGTTCAGAACTAGCAAACCATAAGAAGATAAGAAGTCTTCATGTGTCATCATGTTTATTGTGTGGAAAAGGTAATGGGAAACACCATTCAGAATCCTATAAATATATGCCTTTGGTGCATTTACTGTAGTGCACACTGACCATGTAGCTAAAGCTGGCAGCAGAGCAGCTTGGCTGAAAGGTGATCTTGTGCTATTCAGAAGATGAACAGGTGAACAAACTCATTTTCTTCTCTGACCATGAAAAAAGCACCAGTCCCATTGTCTGGTTTCTAAAGATGCATTGGCCCTCATGCAGAATGCAGCTCAAGAGCTTTTCTGTGTGTTGCTCACTTAAAAACCAGCCAGCCTTCCCTTTCTGCTTGCTCCCACTCACGCCATGCCTTTATTTTTTGTGACTGGATTTTGATATACTTAAACTGCTTTATGTGGCAGCTGATTCAACCCCTTACTGACTTTGCCCACATACCCTCAGGCACATACACACATATTGAGCCTCTCCTTTCCTCAGTGTTATTTTAACAAAGTCCCTCAACCCCTACTTTGGACACTGCTTGTGTAGCCTGTGTGCCAAGAGAAGGATTAGTGTTTTATATCACTTATGACATTCTGCTGGATCCCCCTGTGTCTCCAGTTTCTGTATCTGAACATTGGATGTTTTCAGAACAACTTCCGTGCCTGTTGTCACCTCTGTAGGGATGTTGCCATTGCTCTGTTCCAATGGCCTCAGCCACTCATAGACCAGTTCCCAGTCATTAACCTATTTCGTACCTATGTCTGCACACCCACTCTTCTGAACAGCCATTAATTACTTGAATGCCTCAAGCTTTTTCTAACTGGCTAGTTTTCTAAGAAGTAACCTTAATTATTTTATGTCAACTTATAACCATATGCTCAAAGAGAAATGTTCAGTGTCACTTTAAATTCTGAGCTGCCTGTCTTTTTCACATATCTGAGTCTTCATGTTGACAGCCGCATTGTTGTTTTACTTGGGAAATCTTTATCTGAATGTCCCTTTCTCCATCTCTCCCTCTATCCTTTCACTGTCTTCTCTTTTCCGCTCGACTTATTAGTTAATGAATTGCTGCTCCTGAAGGCGATGGGAAAGGAAAACAGGCTGGCTCCCGGCAGATACAGTAGCTGGCCAGCCCCTTTGGTTTCCAAAACAGCGGGCTCGCCTGCCTCCAGGAAAAGACCACATTTGGACATTAGGTCTCAGGATTTGAAAGACAATGTGGATGAACTTTACTAGCTTTGTCTAGTTTTGTCTACATGTTGAACTGTTGTTGGTTGCTAGTTTAACAATCATTAACAATCATTACCCTCACTTCTTAGATAGTTATCAGTGTGGAAGGTTTTCGACATTTTTATGTTTCAGACTCTTCTTAAAATGGATTCATTTTTTTCCTCATCAGTCTATACAATAAAAGTGAACATAAATAAAGTGAACACATGTTTTGGAGTGTTCTGTAAATTTATTTTTAAAAAGACTAAAATATCCCGTTTACATAAGTGTTCAGACGCCGACTTAGTACTTGGTTAAAGCATCTTTGGTAGGAACAACAGCCTCAAGTCTTCTTGAGAATGAAGCTACAAACTCAGCACCTTTTTTTGGAAACATCTTCCATTCTTCTTGGCAGAATCATTCATGGTCAACTGGGATGGATGGGGAGCATTGGTGCTCAGCTGTTTTCAGGTCTCTCCAGAGATGATCTGTTGGATTCAGGTCCCCACAACATGCTGCTGCCACCACTGTGTTTGACTGTAGGGATGGTATTAGTGGGGTGATGCTCAGTGCCTGGTTTTCTCCACACACGCTGTTGGGAATTGTGTCCAAATAGTTCAGTCACAATCTGTTTGAACTCCTCCCCTCTGGATGGCGTTACAGGTCACTGTGCCCCAAGACAACCAGGCACAGGGACAGTTTCTTCCCCACTCTGATGAACACCTAACCCACGATAGTATGACTGGACAATAACCCTCGGCGAAATACCCGTAAATTTACATTGTACAGATTATTCAGATCCATACAGGTCTCTGTTTTTAAGTTCTCTATAAGAAATCACAATGAGTATTCCTTGTTGGTCTGCATTGTTTACTGCATGTTTATACTGCTTATTTTGCATTATTTGCACTGTTTGTTGCTTGTTAATACTGCTTATTTTGTTATCTTACACATTCTTATGCTGGTTTACTGTTGACTTGCCCCTTGCATGGGGATATGTACATTCACTTTGAGAGCTGATGTACCAGAGTCAACTTCCTGGTGTGTCCGACACACCTGGCCAATAAAGCTGATTCTTATTCTGATACAACTGAACTGAAATAAACTGAATAACAAAATATGGAAAACTTGAAAGGGTCTGAATACTTTCTGTACTGACTGTATTTCTCACTCAGCCTGCGTTTACATTACCGCTGAAACATTGATGGTTTCTAGTTTGGTCTTTTGCCTTATTTGATATAACATTTGGGGTGGGACTCCACCCAATGCAGCACAGGTAGGGATAGTTACTATAAACACTGTTCAGCTGCTCTATTTTACTGACTTTGGGCAGTGGAAGCGTATAGTCTACCAACATATAAAGGTGTCCTGTTTAATTTTAAAGCATTCCAAGCCACTGGGCATCAAGAAGGATTCCACACCACAATCTCACTACTCTATGTATTCAGACTTTTCTACAGATAGTATTAGTAGTACTACATGGCAACTGCAAATATTAGCAGGCTTCTACAGATGTACAATGCAGTACTTAGTGTATATGTAGCATTTTTGTGTAGGCTGTAAGCAGAGGGAGATGAGTGGCACACGCTCATTTATGATTGTGGAGGTAGTTTATTCAGTTGTAAATGTACCTCTCAACTAGCACTCGGGACACTTTATCAGGTATAGCTGTGAAATCCACTGTAATCCAGTACTGTTTTGCGTGGGCTGCAAATTATTTTTAGTATCTGGCAATTAATTTCTCAGTTGATTGATTCATTGTTTGGTTAGCAAATAGCCAACAAAAAAGCAATTCTAAGTCCACAAGTTCCCAAAACATTCACAAATTCTCAAGTGAGGGCTTTGTGAAGTCGTGCTTTATTCACCTAATGTTGTCATTCCACTGCCACCCAGAACTGTCCCGTACTCAGGCCAGCTGGCTGACTACTGGCCTGGGCTGCCTGGCCCCAGTACATGCTCGTGTTTCCATTGCACAGCATGAGCGTTGCTCTTGCTGACGTCTTCTGCGTGACCAGAACTAACATTACCAGGAGGTGCAAAACATAGCAAACATTGATTCGACAAACTCCATATTAACTTCCTTTTACTTCTTTATTAATGTGCTGCCATCTCCTCTTCCTTTCTTTCTTTTTTTTTAAAGAGAGCAAGTCTCTTTCTTCAGCTGAGACACTTCCTTTTTCTCAAGTTTTTTTTTCTCTGCCAATGAGAATGTAGTAATGTAGACAGCCAGGATGGGAGTGGAGTAGTGTGCTGTGGGACCTGCTTCTGAGCAGGGCCAGATATCACGATTTTCAGCATGGTTTCAGTACAGGCACGATCAGTTTCTAAGACAATGGATACGCGCAAACTGTGATATACGGTATGATTACAGTACAGTTCCTGGTGGCGGTGGAATGATGGCATTAATGTCCAAATTCTAAAGATATTTGTGTTTATTGAGACCAATGTTTATCATATCTGCTTGAAAATAATTTTAAAGGAAGTAATCAGTTTTCAAAATAGTTTCAGATTATTGACCAAACATTAACAAACCTTCCAATGGAGGGTAGTTCGTTACATTTCCATCACATTTTAAGTGTGACCACAGCAATAAACATACTGTATGGTACAGCAGCAGCACAGAGGAAAGCGCTTCAGAGGGTCATTAATACGCCCCAGGAGATCGTCAGCTGCCCTCTCCTCACTCTGGAAGAACTACACAGTTCCCACTGCCTCAAAAAAGCTCAGGATATCATTAAGGACACTTCACACCCTGGATGTTTACTCTTTGAACTGCTGCTGTCAGGTAGACGGTTCAGAGCAATCAAATCAATGACCAGTAGATCCAGGAATAGTTTTTACCCAACAGCAGTTACCACACTCATTGCTGCTAAAATATAATATGCCTGTGTGTGTGAGGTCTGTTGTTTATTTTGTTTTTTTTTAGCAGTTATGTTTTTATGTTGTTTTTTTTATTGCTGCACCGACTGAAGGTCACTCTAAAATTTTGTTGTACGTGTTACAATGACAATAAGGGATTATCTTACCTTATCTTATCTTATCTTGTATGTAGCAGGAAGCAAAAGCATGCAAATCCTTTGTAATTGCCATGATGGGCTTCAAACACAAAATAATGTTCAGATATTTGATGTGCATAAATCGGTCTCTACTCAGACTCCAGCTGTCCTTAGTAACCTGACTTCCTTTCAGTGCTCTTTCCTATTAAATGCTGTCATTTATCAAGCTAATAATGCTTGTTTTGGAGTTTGAATTTTCAGAGTCAACCTTTTGAGAAGATTGCATGTTTCTTGTCTGTTTGCAGATGCTAACCATGAAGCAGCAGCAGAGGCCATTGAGAACATGGCAGATGCCGTTACACACGCTAGATTTGTTGGAACAGACCCTGCCAGTGATGAAGTTGTCCTTATGAAGATTCTACAGGTAAATTACATGTTTACCAGTAGTAACCACAGTGGTCTTGCACAGACTTGATGGAATAGACAAATGATGTCCATGGAGTCTCACTCCCTGTACAAGTTAATCCAGTACAGTACAGCATCCCATTTCCAGTATGTAATTATTTTCAAATTTGTCCTCTTAGAAAATTGTAAGGTGAACTTGACTGATGAGACTGTGGGCTTTAGAGCAGTTGTTCTGTGCTGTTTCAGGTCCTAAGAACTCTGCTGCTTACGCCAGTTGGAGCCCATTTAACCAATGAGTCTGTTTGTGAGATCATGCAGTCCTGCTTCAGAATTTGCTTCGAGATGCGCCTAAGTGGTGAGTCACATGTAGACTCCAGGTAGACTCACAAGCTTGTGTGAAATGGTTTTACTTATTCAGCCGTTCTGTAACACAGGAGATTGCAGCTAAACATTTGAATCAGCCTGCATAAGCAGATGTTAACTTTGCCACAGTTGGCACTTTTTTTTTAGCTTGTGCTATATTTGCTCTACTGTACCATGTTTAACTCTCCTTGAACTTTATTTAAATGTCTCTTTGTCAGGCCATGTCTCACTCTTATCTCTGCTGCATCTTGCTTCTCTATTGCATTCTGATTGTTTCTTCTGGCTGTTTCTCTTTTGTGTTTGCAGAGCTCCTCAGGAAATCGGCTGAACATACACTGGTTGACATGGTGCAGCTACTGTTCTCCAGGTAAATGAATGGGAGTGGAGGATGAAGATTGGTTTAGGGTTAAGGTAGACTTTTGTGTTCAGTTTTATCTTAATGTGCACACTCCTGAAGTGGACAGGACTACAAATTTATTCACCATGTTTACTGTCATATGTTAAAATCTAATGCTTCTTTAGGGACTGCTTTGTTTCTAATGAAAACACATCTTGTTGGACCACAATTGAAACATGGATGCTAGGAAAGGCCAGAAAAGTGAAGAGCAGTTTCATCAGTTTTCATATCCCTGATCTTCAGATGTCTTACCACAAATGAAGAGCAGGCCAGACTGCTGCTGGTGCTCTCCTTTATCACCTCTGGATCATAGATTGGAGGTTTTCTACATCTCTCTCTCTCTTTCTCTCTGACCTCATTATTTCCCTCACCTATGGATCATAGATTGGAGGTTTTCTCTTTCTCTCTGACCTCATTATTTCCCTTGAAGCTCATGAATTTCATTTTGCATTGTACACAGGGTTAATGGGCCACTGATTTGTTAATGCCATAATATGATTTCTCCCTAGACATTTAGCATAAGAGATTCTCTCTCCCCACCCCTACACACAGGCACAACCCCACAAACCACTCCCTCCACATGCATCAGAGTGCCAGTCACATTCGGTCACACACAAAGGGATGAGACAATTGAGCTGCACACCATACGATCTGCATATAGATGAAGCTTGTCTCCGCTTCAACAGCAAAACTCCTAGCACCATAAACACTAAGAAGCACATCTAAATACACACGCACACAGGTGCGCACACACGTACAGAATTAGCTTTGCCAGCGATGCCAGGCAGAAGCAGTCAGGGAGATCAGCTACAAAACAGCTTGTCTGCTCATCTAAATGTGAAGGAGCACACCTGGAGAACAAACAGAGCTCAGAATAAAGTTATGGTGTGATTCACCTCCTCTCTGAAGGTGTGTTTGTCTCTCTATTTGACACAGGATTTGGCACAAAGTGATGGGTTATATTGCCTCCAGTGAAGTCCAGGGTTAGTTTTTGCCAGGCTTGTTGCCACTCACTTGCATTCCCTGGCGGGACACTGATATGGCACCTTGTTATCATGTCCTCTCACAAGATTTAGAAATGCTTATGACTAGCCACGGTCATAAAGAAAGGTGTGAACAGGAAGTGTGCGCTTTTTACCCTTCTTGTGGTACTGCTCACACACATACCCATGCCCTACATCTCATTTTGCTCATGTTCAGCCATGAGCCCCCACTTATCCACAGACCTTGGATAATAAAGTAGGTCTGGGCTGCTCCCCCTCCACCCCCCATCAGAGAATAATGAGCAGTAGCACTCTTCAGCTCCTCAGTAGGAGTTTTAGATTGCCTGCTGAAAGCATTAGGCATGTTAATCTATTGGACCCACAGATCATCCAATAATCATGCTTGCAAGACAACACTCTATTAACGCTGAGTTGATGTTAGGAGGGGGGCTGCCAGCTCCTTTTCTCTCTCCCCCTCTCTCTCTCTGTGTAACAGGGGACATCTCATTTTCCAGCAAAGCTTTAAAGTCCATAGAAACCTAGTGACACACATGAACACACTCTTTGTGTGATGCCTTGAGAACAGCAGTCAGTATTACCAAGTGCTGGACAAGTATATTAGTGATTCAGGTTGAAAATGTTGAGCTTACCACCATGATATTGTCGCTTAAGCTGCGTAGGACAAGCTCTGCATTCCTTCTCCATTAATTATGACAATATGTTAATATCTGAGTAACTTCTAAAGCAAAAATTGCAAAAATCCAATGGTTCCAGCTTCTTAAATATCTATGGGTTTTATATTTTGAGACACACCAAGATATTTATAGCTGTCACCTTGGACTCTGGACGCTTGTGACTGGCATTTTCCACTTTTGCTGACATTTAATAGACTAAATGATTATTTGATAGGTCATTAAAAATAATCCCTTAATTAATCCTAGTTGTAGCCAGTTGACTGTCAGTTTCACATATGGGTGAAGCTCTGAAAACACCATATCATTCATTTCACATAATGCAGCTAACTATCTTTTCCTTAAATCTCACATGCCCACATTATCAGGGTTTATTCAGACTTGAATAAGATTCATATCAATACTCATATAAAATGAAATGGCTGTTTTTACATGCTGAATAATACTATAATATATATAAGAATGATCTTTATGTATAAAATTGTATGTAAATGCAATGTCAATGCAAAACTGAATTATGTAGCACCTAATAAAACACTGAAAGAAGAAAGCTACGTACAGCCCTCTTCAGGTCGATCCACAGGTTTTCAGTGATACTTAAGCCTGGAGACTGGGAAGGCCATGGGAAAACATTCACCTTACTCTTTTTAAACCATTCCTGAGTTGACTTTGCTCTGTTCTTTGGATCATTGTCTTGTTGAAGGATCCACTGCCTCTTCATTTTTAGCTGTCTGACTGACAGTAGGAGGCTTTGCTTTGAATACAGCTCAATGTCAGAAGATTTTATTCTTCCTTTCACTTTATGCAGAGCTCTAGTGCCTGATGCAGACACACACACCCCAAAACATCAGCGAGCCTCCACCATGTTTGACTGTGGGAGTGGTGTTCCTCTCCTCATAGGCAGATTTTTTTCTCAGCACATATGTCTGTGCACATTATGACCAGGTTTCTGTACCTATGATGAAGACTCCTGGGCAGTCTGCAACTTAGAGTTTGGTTTATGTCAGATAATTGTTTGTATCTAATACTGTAAATTGTATTTTTTTTTTCAGGCTATGCCAGTTCAAAGAGGAGGCCAAGAGTTATGTGGGTGCCAACATGAAGAAGGTAACAGGACTGACATGTTGAATGTGTCTTAGATCTGCATGCTGGTATTGTGCTCTTTTACTCTTTTTCATTGCTGCCATACTGTCGTTAGGTTCAACATTCTGTCTGTGGCTGTGAAATACAGTTTTTAATGGTGAATTAGCATCATATAACTGAAAAATGTGAACTTCTTATACAGTCACGGCCAAAAATACTGGCACCGCTGCAATTGTGTCACATAAGACACCACTACTCTCAGAAAATTGTTGCAATCACAAATTCTTTGGTATTGTCATGTTTATTTCTCTTGTTTGCATTGGAACAACACAAAAAAGCTAAATCTGATCCAGTCTACACAGAACTCCAAAAATGGACTGGACAGAATTATTGACACCTTTTCAAAATGATCAGAAATAGTTGTATTTACAGCCTGTGATGCTCCTTTAGTTTGTCATGAAACTCAGTAGCATAGAAATCACACTGGCAACCAGTTAAAATGGAGAAAAGTTGACTCAGCCTTTGTGTCACGTGGACCACACTGAGCATGGAGAAAAGAAAGAAGAGCAAAGAATTGTTTGAGGATGTGAGAACCACAACAGTGGAAAATCCTGGACAGTCTCAAGGCTCCAAGTCCGTCTCCAGAGATCTGGCTGTTCCTGTGTCCACTGTGCACAACATTGTCAAGAAGTTTACAGCCCATGGCGCCGTAGCTAATCTCCCTGGACATGGACCAAAGAGAAAACTAGATGATGGACTGCAACGAAGGATTGTTGAATGGTGGATAAAGAACCTTGATCAACTTCCAGACAAATTCAAGTTGACCTGCAGACACAGGGTGCAACAGTATCAGCTCACACTATCTGTCACCATCTGAATGACAAGGGACACTATGGTAGGAGACCCAGGGGACCCCACTGCTGACACAGTAACATAGAAAAACCAGACCAAAAGGCTCTATTTTTGGTCGAGCACGTCATTCTGTTGTTTTCAGAAAACAAAATGAGGACTTAAAAGAAAAGAACACGTACCTACAGACAAACACGATGAGTTCTGAAGTGGCCAGCAATGAGTCCAGATCTAAACCCCATAGAGCAGCTGTGGAGAAGGAACCCTTCAAACCTGAGAGACCTGGAGCAGCTGGCAAAAGAAGAGTGGTCCAAAATTCCATTAGAGAGGACGAAGAAACTCACTGATGGTTATGGGAAGTGACTGATTTCAATTATTTTGTCCATAGGGTGTGCTATCAAATATGATAATAATAATCACTTTTATTGGCCAAGCATGTTACACACATGAAGAATTTGTCTCCGGTACATAACCTGGATCTGTGGTGCCAGTTCACACACAGATGGCGATGCTGTCCCTGCACGGTGCTACTCTGGCCATTGGAAGCACCTAGGGATTCAGTGGTTTGCCCAAGGACACTTCAACATGTGGACTGGGGAGAACAGGAATCGAAGTTGAGGGTGTCAGTAATTCTGTCCAATGTAAACAAAAGAAATAAACCTGAGAATACCAAAGACTTTGTGATTGCAACAAGTTCCTGGGAGAAGTGGTGCATTACCTGACAGAAATGCAGTGGTGCCAGCATGAGTACTTTTGACCATGACTGTAAACTAAGGTCAGCTGAATTATTCCTGCACTCTATTTACTTGTCAACAATGTGGAAACCTTGTTTCATTAAATAATGACCCAAAGTCTGGAGCAACCTTATCATACCTTTTTGTGGTTACCCCCCCACCCGGCAATCTCATTTCTGCCTTTCCAGTTCAGTTTTCAGTTTCAGTTGCCCATCTTTGTGTGTCTGCATGTTTTCATGCCCACAGACACCATGCTGTAACATGGACACTCTGAATCCTTTTTGTGAAGAGCAGTGTCGAAAAACAAGTCAGAATGGCCTAGAGAGGGTACTCTACTGGCTCACTAGCATAGCATGGGAGTGTATGAGGGAGCCCTGGGTCTCTGTTGAACTCTGTTAGTTTTCAGGGCTTTAACAATTGTTTTCAAATTGTTAAAAATTATCACTGAATACGGTGTGAATACACCTTAACTTAAAATTTCTCCATTTTGTTGTCTTATTTGAATGGCTGTCATATCGCTGTTAAAGTATTTATGTGAGCCCTGAACATGGAGCTGGAGCAGTTGTTCCAGCAGTTGGTGCATTTTGCATGGATTATATGCCTGCTCATTCACACTGCCTGCTCACTAGCTGGCTGCTCATTCTCTAGTGGTTAGAGACTATAGTAGCTATGTCTGTCTCTCCAACCCTTGTGCCCTCTTTGGGTCCCACATCCCTCCCATTATGCATAAACATGTATGCTTATGTGTGTTATGTGTTGGTCCCACTGCCGACATTTTCCCATCACTAATCACGGGCACCTGCCTACTCCCCTTCTTTTCTGAGGCTTACAATATATTGTGGAAAAACAAACGCGTGCAGGTAAGGAAGATAACTTCAAATCTTTAGGCTGGGGAATCTCCCCGTAACCTTTCCCCTGTCCTTGTTTCAGACTTCACTAACCTCCCACTTCATTCTGTAAACTTGGCTAGAGGTTGGGCTGGAAGAAGGAACCTGACACGATTTGTTATTAAAGAACAAAGCAACTGATGTGGAATATTCTGGATAGTGTTTATCATTTTAAACATTTTACTGTGACATGTCTGTGCTTGTGAATGTTCCCTTTACATATGTATTGTTAGGTTTTGTTTTTATTGGAGTCTTCTTTGGCATTACACCCTCATGCATATATCTCAGCTGCTGTATATCATGCCCCCCCATATGCTTTCTCAGATGCTGCAGCATAGAGCATGCCTTAGTTTTTTGTTTGTTTGATTTTAAGAAAAGTTGGATTACAAAACAGGTGTGTCTGAAATAGTAAATGGTCTGAATAAATGAACACACTGCAACAGAACCTTTTAAAATAACACCCCATATTAAACAGGATTAAACAGCAGTGGCTCATCTTGGTGTCACCTTTGCCTGCATGTACATGCTGTGCTGCTGTTTTGTTTTTTGTTTGTTTTTCCTTCTGTGCATTGTCTTATGAAATTAACTACTGGTTAATCCACAGATCAGGCTGTGTTCATTTTAGGCCGTGATCAAATAGGATGTTTTCTCTTGAACCTTACTTTGTATCTTCCAGAAACAAGGTTAATTCGCTCATTTCTCAGAGAACAAGGGTTGCTTTGGTTATTTTTATGTTCTTTTTTAAAAAAAATTGTAAATTTTACAAGATGATTAGGATAGGGATATGTTTGCTTCACCTATTTAAATGTATGTGTATTATAATGCAGTATACTTTTGGCAGCATCATTTTGTGCATATTAACAGTTAACAAGTGTAATAAATCAGTGTTTTTCATTTTCAAACTTTTAGGCTTTAGTCCCCTGCAATGTTGACTCCAGTGACTTGAGGACTTTTATCTGACGTCGCACAGCTCCTTGTGCAGCCACAAAAGGCTGAAGTTATTTTTTAACCTTAATTTAGACAGTGTCAGTTCTCTGAAAGAGCCACCTCTGTTTAACAGGGTCACCTAACCCACCCAGATTTCAGACCCCATATCCTTCTGGTTATTAGCTTGCTTCTCTAACCTTTAGGCCACCACTTTTGTCACATGTGCAGTTGTTCTCCCCAGCATTTAGATGATGTGTAAAAGGGGTGGAATTCAGCGTTCAGAATAAGTGCCTCAGCATTTTCCTTTTTAAGTGTGTAGTGTTACTGGCAGTACTCACAGCTCTATTTGTTTTTTTTCTGAGGAAACAAAGGAAGAATATTAAGAGAAATAAAACATCAGATCTGATCGTGGCCTTAATTGGTAATGATGGTCCTGCGGTACAGTGTGGATGGAGAGTTCTAACTCAGTGATCCATTGTTTTCTGTAGTTGAAAATGCGTGCCGGTGGAATGAGTGACTCCTCCAAATGGAAGAAGCAGAAACGTTCTCCAAGGCCATCTCGACATATGGTACGAAGTCCCTCCTGTCAGATGGATCCAACCCAGTCCAGCACACTCAGCAACAACAACCTTTCTGGTAAGATGCACACTACTGTAATAACACACCTACAGTCATTGAACAAATGTTGAAGCAATATGTGGTACACCTTTTATAGTGTTGCTGATTTTTGTACATGATGGACGAAGTGTGTGGGTGAATGGGGAAACACGTCATGTTACACCATAGTATGACTGCGTCTTTTTCCTGTTAGGTGGTGTTCCATTCATTGAGCAAGGCTTGTCCACCTCAAGCCTACCAGCCTCAGACAGTGCTGGCTCATCCATTCCCAGCCCTACAATGACAGACAGTGGCCTGGACACCTGTTCCAAAGCCACCTCCAGGGAAGACCTTTCTGACCTAGAGCAGTATAGCTCATCTGCAGCCACACTCCCTGGCACTGGGCCTGGTTCTCCAGATGCACAAGTAGGGCTGTTTGGAATAGCAATAGGATGACCAACAGTCTCTTTATATAAATAACTTTTTCAGCTTTCCCCTATTTCCACATTGTGAAATTGTGTCTCTTGTTAATGACTCTGTCATGAACTTCTACTTTGTTCTGTTTTCATTTGCATCTAGTTTGATGGCGGACAGGTTGATCCAGCTCAGTCGGCTTCAGTGGAGTCTATCCCTGAGGTTCTGGAAGACAAAGACTCCATTACTGAACAGTCAGACAGCAGCTCTGTCCCTGACAAAGACTACGTTAACACTCAAGGAGTTCGTTTCACACAGTCCATGCAAAGAGACGGTAAGGACACTGAAGGAGAAGAGCTTGTGATGATGTGTCTTTTACACACTGAGGACATTTTACTTACTTGTAAGTTCAAACTTTTATGTCCCCAATGATGAAGTTGTTTCTTAACCTCTGTCCTCCTCTTGCCTTCCTTGTAGGAGCATCCCTTATCCCGTATGGCCTGCCATGTTTAAGGGAGCTTTTTCGTTTCCTGATCTCACTGACCAACCCCCATGACCGCCACAACACTGATGCCATGATGCACATGGGCCTGCAGCTCCTAACTGTAGCGCTTGAGTCAGCACACATTGCAAACTACCAGTCTTTACTAGGACTGGTCAAAGATGAGCTCTGCAGACATCTCTTCCAGGTAAAGCAGAATGTACAGTTTTGTACAGTATGTGTGTACCTATGCTGTCTGTTATCAAATTGACAATGGAGGGATATTTTCTATACATTAGTGACAGATGCTATAAGGAAGATTGTTTTGTAAATGTTTTTGAACAATTGGATCTAATTCAGAAGTGGTTAGGAAACTTGCAGCAGTTTCTTCCCAGGGACACCCTCTTTGAAATGGCTGACTAAACTGATACTTGTGGTCTGCCTTGGTGGAATCCATCCAGCTGCTTCAGAAAGTTTAGACCCCTTCACTTTTTTGCACACATTATTGTGTTGTGAGATTTAATTTCAAATTGGTAAAATAGAAATTTGTGCCCACTGGTGTACACTCAATACCCATACTGATAAAGTAAAAACGTGTTGTTAGAAAATTTTGGTAATTAATTAAAAAGCAGCAACTGAAGTCTCTCATTTATAAAAGTATTCCGACCCTTTGCTGTGGCTCCAAATTGTGGTCAGATGCATCCTGTTTGTGTTAATTCTCCTTGAGATGTATCTAAAACTTGATTGGAGTCCACCTCGTTACAAACGGAATTGATCAGGTATAATGTAGAAAGGTCTACACCTGTGTATATAAGGCCCCATGATTCATACTGCATGTCAGGACTAAAACCAGGACATGAAGTCCAAGGGACTCTGTGCAGACCTCTGTGATAAAACTATGGTGGGGCATAGATCAGGGTAAGGGTATAAAACCATTTCTAAGGCTTTGAGTGTTCCCAGGAGCACAGTGGCCTCAATAACTGTGAAATCAAAGAAGTTTGGAACCATCAGGACTCTTCCTAGATTTTGGTCTTCTCTCCAAACAGTGTAAGTGGGCAAGAAAGGCCTTGGTCAGGGAGGTGACCAAGATCTCAACAGTCATTCTAACAGAGCTTCATAAGTCCTCTGCAGAGACGGGAGAACCTGTCTGAAGGACGACCATTTCAGTAGCACTCCATTATTTAGGCCGTTATGGAAGAGTGACTAGAGGGAAGATGTCTGTGCAGATTCAGGTCATAGTCAACTGAAAAAACTTAGAAAAAATCAACTGCACTAGATTTCTAGGTCAAAGACGTTTTACCTCTCATCCAAGAGGCTTCATCAGTTCTGACAGCTCAACACCAGTCAGTCAGAACTGATGAAACCTCTTGGATAAGAGGTGAAACATCTTCGACCTAGAAATCTAGTCCAGTTGATTTTTTCTAAGTTTTTTCAGTTGACTAGAGGGAAGCCACTCTGAGTAAAAGACATATGACAGCCCACTTGGAGCTTGTTGAACAGTATTTAAAGGACTCTGAGGGCATAATCAAAAAAGACTGTTTAGTCTAATGAGACAAGAATTGAACAGAACTCCAGGTAGTGTCGTTGCCTTACCTTTGGAAGGACGTTGACTCTCTCAAAAAGGTGCGACTGTCTTAGGACATTAGCATCATGGGCACTCCCAGGCATTTTGCAGTTAATGTTCCAAAAGCTGAAGACAATAGAAATGTTTACTTTTTTTGTTTACAAACATAAGCATACATTGTATTTTTCTTTCCAGACTACACTATCACAAAATTAAGTTTCACTACTACATTATGATTTCCAAGAACTGTACTAGTACTGATATACATGTTAGGTATTTATGTTATGCGAATACCACTGAAAAATCCTCACAGACTTACCAGTATCAGTCATCCACAACTTCCTGAAGGACATATAATGTCCATTCTTCTTGACTAACAGACATCATTTATGAAGCTTTATCCATCACTCGGAGCCAAAACCAGGATGTGGGTGCCGTCTGTGCATCCAATAACTTGAGGAATGAAGAACTGGTTCTGAAATCACATGGAGGTTCCACAAGCTGCCTCCAGGGCTGTTCTCACAACCGCCTCATCGGGTTGCATAACATCTTTCATCTTGTTGCAAAGCTTCACAAATGAACTTTGGAACATTTGAACATTCAATGTCTGTAAATTCTCCCAAGAAGACTCTCTCCCACCAGTCCTTACTTGGCACGCATTCAATGGCCACGTGAAGAACTAGACAAAACCACAGATAAATGCCGATGGAGACTCAAATCAGCCGCTTGTTGGATGAATGTGTTTGGTCTTCTATTGCCATTATTAATTTCACAACTAATGAGGACGCTAGTGTTGTGATTTGCAGATGAAACATTGCTAAAGAGACCAAAATACAAGCTTTATCGACCGCGTCCATCTTTGTTTATGGGAGGATGCAGTCCGCATACTGACGTCAGCCTTTCCAATTATGGGTGTACCCGAACAACAATGTCTCAGTGGCTTAGGGGTGTGTGTGTGGTGGGGCAAATGTTGGAGCTTGTTCATGCTGGGGTTTTTGAGTAACCTGATTACTGCCATGCATGTAAATGTGTTATCTGATTTCTGCTGTAACCCAGTTTCTCTCAGTAACTGGTTACTTAAATGCATGTAAATGCATCCACTGCCTGGTAAACACCAGGCACTTCTCATCACCTGGCTAATATGGTACCAACTCTGCAGTGTAACATGGTGATGACAGCATTAGACTATGGGGTGTTTAGCATCAGGGCCAGGGGGACTGGTAAGAATTGAGGGAAGGATGAATGCAACCAAATACAGAGTGTTCCTTTAAATGAAAGCAACTGGTTGTATCATTTTCTGATATCACAGCAGTGTCTATAATCTTAGAGTAAAATAAGTTTTTACTTCAAGTCAAACAAAATCAAAAGTTCTTTTAAGAGAAAGCTATTTTCATATATCTTTTCTGATGATTTCTGTTGTTTTGCAGTTGCTGAGTATGGACCGTATGAACCTGTATGCTTCCTCAATACGTGTTTGCTTCCTGCTTTTTGAAAGCATGAGAGGACATCTAAAGTTTCAGCTTGAGGTAATGAGTTTTTTCCCCCCATTAAATGATCTTGAGGCTTATTTAGCTGTTGATTGTCATCTGATTTACCCATATGCAATCCCGGGGCCCTAATAATCATTTCCCTGTGTACTGAATTGGCAGATGTACCTAAAGAAACTGATGGACATAATCACATCAGAGAACATTAAGATGCCTTATGAGATGAAGGAGATTGCGCTTGAAGCTCTGGTTCAGCTGTGGAGGATCCCCAGCTTTGTCACTGAGCTGTACATCAACTATGACTGTGACTTCTACTGCTCCAACCTGTTCGAAGACCTCACCAAGCTGCTTTCCAAGGTAACATCCTACTTTTCTAGTTGTAGACTGTGGATTGTCACTGTTCTGACTATACTTTGTACCCCTTTATTTCAGTCTTCCCAAGACTAACCTCTGAGCAATAAAGCATTGCTTTAATGTTGTTTCACAAGCAAGAGTAAAAAAATCTAATAATTTCTTTCTTCCATCACTATTTTGTAGCACAAGATAGAATACAGTTGTTTTGAGTGGGTGAATAGTTCTGGTTTCAGCTTTATCTGTTCTTTTAAAATGTCCTCACCAGTGGTTTGATTAGTTTAAAAGCATTAGACGGGTTATTTGCAGGTCTTGAATCTTTGTAAAAAGGACTGAACTGAGCTTCTTTAAAAAAATAAACAAAAAGAAAAGAAGCGGCTATGCTGTTGCTGTTGCCAACTATAGTTTCTAGAAAAATGGACTCATAATGGGACAGTGTCAAATGGGGGCGATGCACACAGCTTAGATGCTCATGTTCTTGGGGGAACCAACAGCGTTAGAGAGATGCAGTGGTTTTCAAAAGGTTTTCAGGATGACATGGAATATATTGTACATTACTAGGTTTAATAGGTGCACTGAGACTGAAACCCACCACAAAAAACAATCACCAGATGATAAAAAGTAAAAAAAATGTACACAATAAGAACCAACATACAAAACATGCAATTAAAAGTTAATAGTTAGCTTGTAGAATTGATAAAACCGATGGTCCTTGGAATGAACGAGTGATTGAATACATTTTTGTTGCATGTATAGCATCTCCCGGAGTTCAGTGGCTCAAACTGACTATACAGAGGATGGGATCTGTCTGCCAGAATACTCCTCAATGTCTTTGTGGTCCTTGTAGTGTAAAGATCATTTAGAGACCCTTGAGGTTTACCAAAGAATTCTCTGGCCATTGAAACAATCCTGGAGGGCTTATTCTTATACTTACAGTTCTGGTGGCCTCATATTTTATTTTAAGTCTGTAATGATGATTATATTCAAATCAATCCCAATAGTTGGTTGAAAAACAGTTTTTGTAGAAATAAGACATTTCCCCTGTCTTGCTACAGAATGCGTTCCCAGTGTCAGGGCTCTACACCACTCACCTCTTGTCACTGGAGGCTCTCCTCACAGTGATTGACAGCATTGAAGCACACTGCCAGGCCAAGGTGCTCAACAGCACTACTCAACAAGACCAGTCAGAGGCACTGCTAGCAGAGGGAGAAGGTCCAAGCAAAAACGGAGCAGACACTCAAACAGGTATACACACACCCCTGTACACATGGACATTTGACTGTTTGAATCTCAATAAAGTGGTTTCACCCCATTGTTTTTGCTAGAACTCTTCTTCTCCCTAAAACAAACAATACTAGTTTTTCTTCAAGAAATGAAAATGCTTAAAAGATATTAATAACACAAATGCCAGACATCAGTAGTTTCAGTTTAAAAAATGCCAGTCTTCACCTTGATAGTTTTTTTTTTTTTTACAGGATGTGTTTTCCTTTTGTCTTCAGATCTTAATAGAACTAGCAGTAGCAATGGTCTGAGTCTTCCACAAGCTGAGAGTGCACCAGCATGTCCACCAACCAGTGGACATCTAATGGCAGAGCAGATGAAACTGGGTAGACATGATCAAGGAGACAATGATGCTGGTGAGGCTTCATTCTTAAATGCTTACAATGTGTTGGCTGGAAACCGTAAGCTCAAGCTATACATTTTCATTCTCTTTTCCAGCTGAGAAGGGAGCTCCAAAAAAGCCTGAGCGTTTCTTGTCATGGTTACCCGATTGCCAAGAGTTGATGGAAATTAGAACAAAGAAAAAGGTAGGTGGTATTGATTGACCTAGATTTCTTGTAACATTACACATCCAAAGTCAAATTATAAAAACTGCACTGAGCCTTCAAACTGCTTTTCTTGTCATGGGTCCAGCTGCTGATCACAGGCACAGAGCAGTTTAATCAGAAGCCCAAGAAGGGAATCCAGTTCCTGCAGGAGACAGGTCTCCTCAGTAACCCCATAGACAACAGCCAGGTGGCCCAGTGGCTCAGAGAAAACCCACGACTGGACAAAAAGATGATCGGAGAATACGTCAGTGATCGCAAAAACATGGAGCTCTTGGACAGCTTTGTGAAGTAGGGTGCAGTTCCTTGGCATGTTGTGCATTTATTGATCAGTGTATACTCTGATCTTAAAGGATGTACAGATGTTGGTTCCCAGGATGCATTGGTGTGTTCGATATCAAACTATGCAAATATTTTTTGCAGCACTTTCACCTTCCGGGGGCTTCGTATTGATGAGGCCCTGCGGCTTTACCTGGAAGCCTTTAGACTGCCTGGAGAGGCTCCCATCATCCAGAGACTACTGGAAACCTTCACAGACAACTGGCATGTAAGGCACATTTACTCAGCTTCTAAAAACAGTTCTTTATTACCGTGTATCGGTAGCATTTTGACATTCAGATTAATATAGAACAAGGTTCGTAGCACAATGAGTCAGAGTTTATAAAACATGGGATTACTTAAGACTTGACTTACATAAATAACTTGAGCCTTTGATGAAGCCTATATTATAACCTGATTGTGATTTGAAACAGACTGGAAGACTTCAGGTTTTCCAGTGTCACTTTGTGACTTACTATGACATACTATGTGCAGAGATGGGGGGCTTAAGTCACAGGACTTGGATTTGAGTCTAGACTTAAGGCATGAATCTGGTAACAACAACAACAAAAAGTTAAGTTGTAACTTTATGGTATATGGCAGTAATTTATGACATTGCTTAGACTGTATTGGCACTTCATGTTGGTGCTGGAGATGGTGGTGGTGAGAGTCTTCATTTAAAACTTGTCGGAATTCACAAAAAAAAAATCAATGGTGTACAAAAAGAAGGGAAGGGAAGTTAATTGTGGAAAATGAATTTTTGAACTTTCTTGTTATTAAAATGAGGACTCTAACCTAGGATGACATTGTTTTGCTGGCGTCAAATGACTTTGCTTCTGATTAGATAGAGAAGTCAAAGAAACCCCTCCTTGAAATCTGTCAGACTACTCAACTCTGTGTTATGCACAAGGGTCTGTAGAAGGATGCAAATAATATTAAGGCATGCTTGAAAATACTTAATGAATGTGGGGAAAATATCCTTAGGCTTGTTTTGCCTTTCCTTGATGAACTTGACTGATTCAGCCACATGGATGCCTTGGCTTTGCTAAGCAGAATGGAACAGCTTAGCTGAGAAGTTTCCTGTATGAAAAAAGCTTTGGAAACGCAAGCAGCTGTGAATAAGGACCTGCGGGCAGCTCCAGTGGTTCTTGGGCGCAGAATATCAGTGATTGAAAGGCCCGGTGAGCCGACTGGCTTGGATTCAGGGCCTGGCACCTCTTTGAAAGGAGGGCCGCCAGAGATGATTTCCATGGCCTGGGAGGAGACTTCGGGCCCGACTACAGTGAGTCCACTCCCCCCTGAAAGTCCTTGGTCACCTTAGTGGATACTGTGGTGAAAGTAGGTCAATGACAGAAAGCCAGGGATCCTCTGAATGTACATGTGCAGTTCAAGCCCCGGGTTCCACAAACTGAAATGAATAAGATGGGAATAGTTGGCATGGGCATTGGCAGTAATATCCAAATGGTTAAAAATAAGCTGGTGTTTTTGCATTCAGATTTTTCCCCAACCTTCAAGCTGACACTTTATGTAATTATCTCTCTGAGCAGTTAGACATTAAAACAGTCATATCATGTTAAGATTGTTTCAGCCAGGAATAGATACAGCTTGTTCCATGTTACTGCTGGATATGTATGACCATGGTCTTTGAGCAGCTGGAATATTTGATTGTCGATTCTATGAGGTTCTCAATCCAAGAGTTAGTGGGAGCGGGAGCCATGCTTCGATGAGTAGTGTGTATTAATCCAAGTTAGCTCATATAATGTGCATGGCCTGCATTTAGACCAAAGCACAGGTGATAAATCACGCCATTTTATTGTGGACAAGCTTTTATATGGCTGAAGGAGTGCACTAGTATTAAATATTTGGGACACTATCTTACATTTTTAATCAGTGTAAGGCGGGTGAATACTTTGCTGCTGAGGTTCGGGATGTGCTCCCCATCGGTTAAGATTTCTCTGTTTAAAGCCTACTGTACCCCTTTGTATGCTGCCCACCTGTGGCCATACTACAGGAGAGAAGCATGGTGTTTATTGTGACTTCTAAGGGTTGAGGATTGAGGTCACTTCTGAGGATTCCAAGGGATTGTAGCGCCAGTAAAATGTTTGCGGATGCTAATGTACCTACTCTTTTGTGTAATCTAATGTTTAGATTTAAGTCTAGATTGTATCGGTTCATTACATGTTATCTTGGCCATGACTACGCCAGATAACAGTACCTTATGGTTAACTTCCAGACTGTGGAGTCACTGGCTAGCAAGCCTGTATTGTGATTTACATGTATTACTCTTGGTCTTTTTTATTGTTTTTCTTTTAATTATATATATATATTTATTTTTTATATGGACCATTTTCCCTTTTGTGTCCAGAATAAAGATTTGAAGTGAAGTGAAGTGAATCCAATCAAGTCAAGTTGAATAAAATCCTTGTGATGTGGAATGACTTCCCCACAATCAAAACGTATGGAATTGCTTTGCTGTTTTTCGACAGCAGACGTAAATAAAAAATTTAAGTAAATATGAATTCCAACTTCGTCCAACATTTGAGGCTTCCAGAAGAGTGGTAATTTGCATGTAGCATTGTTCTTCACTCAGCTCTGCTAAGATGCAGCATTTAATAGTTAACTTTTGCAAACTTGAAATCAGTACGAGTAAAGCCTTAACATTAATTACATTTAATTGCTTAAAAATAGAGCCCTTTTAATGCATAGTAGACAATGTTCATGGGCTCAAAAATATGCAGAAAGTCAAAATTATCATAATAAATGTAGTGTGGAAAATTGTAAGCAGTTAGTGACTGAGCCATAGACATCAGAAGAAACTTAGCATCTTCCTGGTGATGTACTTCCAGGTCTTCACTGCAGCCACCTCCAGCTGTTGTTTGTTAAGGGCTCTCTCTCTGGTCTTCAGCAAATGGAGGGTAGCTCAATTAGACTGAGATTAGTCAGGCAAAGAGATTCCACCTCTTCACCCTGAACAGCTC